TGGAGACGACAAACAAATGTTCACACAAAAAATTATGTAATGACAATCGTGGTTGTATTGTGATAGGGACAAAGTAGGGAGCAGATACTACAGGTGCAACCGAGTGAAAAAACTAAAACAGCAAAATGTTGCATGAGAGAGGGGAATGTGAGATTCACAGTTGAGAGGTGAGGCAGGTCTTGGTAATCACAGGGGTCAGAATACAATGGGGGTGAGAAGGCCAATCGGGATGACAGTCATCAGACTTCAGGCAGGGTATCATGTGGGACATCCATGTGATACCGGTGGCATGCTATGGGTCAGACCCATCCACACAGACACTGAAGTCATTCAAGAAGATAATGGGGTTTGGGGTGAAAAGAAAAGCCGTGGGCTAGGTGAGGAAGACAGGGCAAGGAGGCCTTCGGGGACATAAGTTAAGGCCTGAGATCATACACTTTACAAGCTGTAATGCAGATCCAGGAATCAGATCTGGTTTTTCTGGCTTCAAGTCCACTGGCACGACCTCAGTTCTGAGATCAGCTTTCCACAGAAGGAAAAACAATCGAGGCAAGATTGAAAGATGAGGAAGAAAGGGCGTGACAGGTTTCATATTAGGGAAGGCAGGCTGGACAGGCTATAAGTAGAAGCATGGGCAGCCAAGGAGTGAAGGAACAGGTGGGGGGTTGAGGGGGACACGTGGTTAGGACAGGCTCATGTTGCCTAGGCCTGCTTCTCGGGTTTGCGGGAGCCCTTTGACTTGTGGTGAGTAGCTGATTAGATACATTTTGGTCTTGTCTGTGACTTATGCACAGTAGTAGATACATCCCCAGTTACAACCAACCAACCAACCAACCAAACAAACAAACAAACCACCGCCACCACCACAACCACACAACCCAAGTACTTCTCAATGGCGTGAGGGTGTTTTGGGTAGAAAGAAAGCAGCGGGATCACCAAGACTCCAAACAGAATAATCTAATCAAGACAGTTTAGGCATCAGTGCCTAGATGTCAAAATGGGGAATTTTTGTAGATTCTTCTGCCATTGGATACTTGTCTCTTTTTATTGGTTATACATTTTGGTCTCTGGGTGACAGTTCAAAAAGATTGAATAGGAAAACTGGGCCGGGTGTGGTGGCTCAAGACGGTAATCCCAGCACTTTGGGAGTCCGAGGCGAGAGGATTGCCTGAGCGTAGGGGTTCGAGACCAGCCCGGGCAACTTGGCGAGACCTCGTCTCTACAATAAATCAAAAATTAGCCGGGCGTGGTAGCACTTGCCTGTAGTTCAGGCTACTTGGAAGGCTGAGGCGGAAGGATCACTGGAGCCCAGCAGGTCAACGCTGGGGTGGCCATGAGTGTGCCACTGCACTCCAGCCTGGGTGACATAGTGAGACTCTGACTCAAAAAAAGAAAAAAGAAAACTGATAGCAGTGTTTGCAGATCCAGGTAACCTGGAGTAAGGTCAGAGGAAGACCTACCTTTCATCGTGCAATCTTTTGTGCTATTTGAATGTTGTTACCATATGTATTTATAACCTACTAAAAATAAAAGAAATGTATTTCACAATGTCCACTGCACTTCCTCGCATTCAACAAATATTTGTTGAATAAATGAGCACAAATACAACATACAGTTTACTGTGCCTTTTGGATTTGGATCTACCCGAAAGTCCCTGATTAGGACAGGAACAGTGCCTGCCTACAATTTCCCTGATAGAACTTATTTTGAATAAACAGACTGTCCCTATAGATTGTAAACTCCACTAGGCCTGGACAAAGACAGCCTCACCATTTGTCCCCAGGACCTAGCACAGAGCTGGCACTCAGATATATGCTGTGTAAGTACTAGAACGCGTCCAGGAGGAGAAGCAGTGCCGGGGAATGAGGCTGTTTCTTCCCATCAAAAGGGCGGGGGAGAGCCGGGGGAGAGCGCTACATTTTAAGTAATTAAACTAAATCATGGATTACCAAAAGGCTTAAGGGGAAATAATTTACTCTACTTTTCCCTTTTTCTTGTCCTTTGGGGATAGAAAGTTTCTGTCTTCTTTTGAGTCTTAAAAAATAACCAACTCCCTTGTCACGATTGCTCTCCTCCATTTTGAAAACAGAGTTAGTTTCGAGGCTACAGTATGCTCCCCAAACAAGTCCATCAGCCCAAATTCCCTTTTCCACTCTCAGCTCTGCTGATGAATGCTAATGACCATCCCCGACCTCAACACGGCCTCTCACCTTGTGTTGATTTAAGACTGGGGTTTTCAGGAAAGAATGTGGCCTCTCTGTTTTTCCTCAGAGAGTGCAAAGCTTCTTTTTAGGTCTCTTCTGAGAATCTGTAAGAGGGACACAATATGTAGCTGTTATTATTGTTCTCTCTCAGTCACACTGGGGCGCTCTGGAAAGGCGCTGAGACTCACCACCTTAACTCATCGCATGAATTGTTAGGTCTCATGGCCCTATTTTCTCATTCATTTTGCAAAAGTGCCATTAGCATGTAAAAACACATTTTATTTAGGTATCTTCATTAAGTCTTTTAGGGTTCCTGAAGACTTCATTAAGTCTTTTAGGGTTCCTGAAGGGTTCTAGTGCCAAATGAAACCAGGCTATGTTGAAAGCAGGATCGGATTAAAAAAATGTGGTACATATACATGATGGAATACTACGTAGCCAAAAAAGAAGGATAAAATTATGAACTTTGCAGCAACCTGGATGAATTCAGAGTCTACAATACTGAGTGAGCTATCACAGAAACAAAGAACAGAGTACCACATGTTCTCACTCTTAAGCAGGGCTTGAACAATTGTAATACTATAAGAAAGGGATTGGCAGTAGTGGGAAACTGCCAGGGTTGGAAGGGCACACCTCATCCACAAGGGTACCTGCATAATGAACGTTTGTATACTTCACCCTAAATTGTACCCCACATCTTTAAAATTAACAATTAAAAAAAAAAAAGAAAAGAAAACAGGGCGTGCCAAACATGAGCCATAAATTAAATGAATGATTTCTCTGAGGTTGGTCCCTCTGGTTCTCATGAATGCCTGAGGCTGGCCCTAGAAGTGGGCCTCGCATACTTGGACTTATGCACGTCAGAAAGGCCTGCCTTTCTTTTTCTTTTTTTTTGAGTTGGAGTCTCACTCAGTCGCCCAGACTGGAGTGCAGTG